GGTGTTAAGTTTGGGGAAAAACATCTCAGTTGTAGGGACTTAATGAAACCCTCCTAATATATTTCGTCAGACTTTCTTATAACCCCGCTGCAACGCGCGGGGACGGGCACGCTAGTTTTATATAAAAATAACTGTTTGCTTTAATCTACAATAATTTTTTTTTTACAAACATTATAAATATACTTTTAGGATAGGCCTATATGCTGTAAATTTAAACCATGACGCAAGTTTACAGAGACTAAATTGATATTAAAAGCGCATACGACACACAACTCACGACTAAACCTTACACACTGAGGAAAGGGGAAACCTTCGCAAAATCTGACATACTCAATAGCCACACAACCAACTACAAACATACAAAGTAACATCCAAAACATGATCACTGCCTTGTTGCCACACTGCAACCTACTCTCCCCCCAACCTTGCGCCCCCCCCCCCCCCCCATGCTTATACTGCTTTGCTATCTAGATCTAGCTGTTTAATACTTTCTAAATCTACATCCCTTTATAAGCCCTATCATATTTTAAAATTATTACCGTAGTAGACATTTTTCGGGAGAGCAGAGCCCCCCCCCATCCCAAAGAGATGCCTGGAAGAAACTGTGCATTTTGTTTCTACTTTTACTGAGGAAAAAATTGTTCTGTGACACCCCTTACTGTCCCCCCACTGATATAGATCGTCACTGTCATCACCATACAGGTATTCGTATTTGGGGTCATCCATAAATAACGTCACGCTTTTTTGGACGATTTTTACCCCCCCCCCCCCTCCTTCAGTCACAGGTCGTCACAAAAAGCCAGACCCCCACTAAAATGGCGTCACACCTCAGCCTACAACCCACTTAAAATTGCTGTAGAATTTTTCTGAAAAAATTGATATTTTTCCAAAAACTTGTCAGAACTCTGTCAACATAGAGTATTTTGATCAATTCCTTTAACAATTTATGAAAACCGTTTTCTAAAACGCGAAATAACAGCTAAAACTCGTTTTCTAACATTGCGTTTTTATATTGCAAAAAGTGTGACATCACACCATCTAACCCCCCCCTCCCCCTCATCACACACCGTCACAAAATTACGGACCCCCCCTCCCCCTACGAGTGATGACGCTTCCACCACAATTATCCTTTTAATGTCTACATCCTAAATAACCTATTGTTGGCCACAAACCTGATAACTCCAGACAACCTCAGTAACATGTCCAGTTTCCCTAAAAACAGCAAACCAACCCACAAACAACTCAGTGTGTTATGCCTGTCCCGTTTTCAACCCCTACTTTACCCACCCCAGAGGCGTAACGACCAACGTTCTCTCTAAGGGAAATTGCTAGTGTGCAACATGTATTTTGTGTGCGCGGTGTTCTAAAAGTCTTATACAAGGTTATACGTACTTTACAAAATGACTGCGCGGCAAGTTCAAAAATACTGCGCGGCCGCGAAACCGCGCCGCTTAGAGGGAACACTGGTAGCGACACTTCCCAGCGCCCGGGGACAAACTTTCAATTTGCCCCCCCCCCCCACTACCATATATTTTTTATATTTATAATGCAAAACTGCAGCTAAAATGAGATTTTAATTTGTTTTTTTCCAACCCATTTTGGCGCCCCCTAGGGTCGGCGCCGGGGGACATATGTACCCCCCACGCACCCCCCTCGCTACGCCTCTGTCCCGCCCCAACAGTCACTCATCCTACACACATAAACAGTAATACTAAAATACCACCGATGTTGCTTCAGATGAAATACAGCAACATCCCCCCCCCCCCCCTTCAATACCAGACCCCTGTGCTATTACTTGATATTTAACTATTCATTTCCCAAAAGACAATTTAAGAAAGTAAAGAAAAGAAACCTCTATAGACCCAGTAATTTATTGGGCAAATGAAGTAGAGTTCATGTTTCTTGACCTCTGTATATCAAGGTCAGCACTTTGCCCAGCCTTTACTTTCCATAACATGACTAAGGGCCCATCAGAGCTGGGTAAACTCAGGGACGTTCTACTAACTTGGACCTGGATTCGAACTTGAGACTCACAAGTTAGCAGTTAGCTCAACTGCTTAAGTCTCACCTTAAGTACCAAATACCTTTGATACTAAAAAGTTGTAAGGCCACCAGTGTTAATTTTTTTTTCGCCAACATATTTTTTTTTGTACATCATTCAAACCCTTCTGTGTCTTAGGGCTTAACCTTGTCAAACATCAAATCATGTTCACATAGCAGTTTCACCTCAGCCTGTAAATATTTTCACCTTTCCGGTGACAACTGGTTTAAAATTGTTATTGTAAAAAGTTAAAATAAGTTACAGACTAAGCAAACACCACAGATGTTGAGTTTAATGTAGGGCCGATTTGTTTAATTTTAAAATTAAAGTATTTAAAAAAAATACTTAGCATTTCTAACTCGATTCAATGACAGAATCTACTAACTTTCACTTTTTATCTGATCTAGTGTTGGTTTATTTAAACAACTGATCAAATATTTTATGAAAGCTTCATCAATACATTACTAAAAGTCTATATTTAGATGTGCTATTATTTTTCAGGACCAGTTATTTAAATGAAAACAATGGCACTTGAAACTTCAGGGGGGGGGGGGGGGGTAGACAGACAATGAAAGCCCACAAAGAGATCCCTGAAAGAAACGCTCTGTTGATTTTATAAACTAAGACATCACTACTTAATTATTTCAGTTTAATTAAAGCTTGGTGACTTGATTGCGCTGGACATATTGCTGACCACACTATCCATTCATATTCCGGGGTCACAGAAACAGATCAAGTCTACTTCACCTGCCCAATAATATTTGAAAGGGTACTTTACTTCTGCTTTCATCACACACTTAACAAAAACACTAAAGAAACAACAAAAGATAAATTTAAAGTTGTATAATCTTTAATGTCATTGTCATTTTTAATAATATAATACAAGGTCTTTGATAAAATTATGTGACTTAACTGTTTGAGTGTTAAATAAAAAGCAACAACTCTGTAGTAGATATATACCAGTCAGTTCTAAGACTATAGGGATCAGTGCTTTACTCAATCATTTGATTAGTCGCGCCTTCTGTAAATAAATCCTACAAATACAAACGTGTTAAATACACTAACAGATTTTTATTTTCCTTTAAAAAAAAAAAGTGTCATTTATACTAAAGGTTCACAAAAGTGAAATAATTTTTGTACAATGTAATATTGTTTTACACTTAACATTCCAGAATTTTCTAAACATCACCTTCACAGCAACAAACACTTTTTTTTTCTTCAATGCTGTGCCTAAAACACTAAGGCTGGGAAAAAAAATGCTGATTCGCACAGTATATTTTCTTTCAACTACAAAATATATAACCATTTTCGAGATGGAGTTAATGAACACTTTTCATATATGGATTTAAAAGAATGGTTTAAGTAACCTTATAGATATACAAGTGTTTAAATCTAATTAAAAATGAACAGTGGTGTAACATAACAATCCGACCCTTCAACTGAAAAAGAAATCCAAGCCTTTATGAGACATATCCAGTTATAATGGCAATATTCATCAATGATAGAAATGGTAAGTAGATTTATTTTGATTTGAAGGTATTTGTTTAACAGAAGGCAGGGTTTTTGTTATGATGCATGTGGGTAGTAAAATTCAAATTGGTTACTAAAATTAAAAAATTGGTGTGCATGTGCAAACAATACAAAAATAGGTCTAAGCAAATATTGTTTTTTTTTAAACATATGGAAACTTTAAATTAAAAAAAAAAGATTTAAAAAATGTAAAAGACAAACCATGAACTAGCTATGTATACATATTATATTAGTTTTTAGTAACACTAAAATTCATCTACTGCAATCTGTTTTAGTTTTTTTCAAAAACTGTTTTAAAAAAACTCATGACAATGCTAGGCTAAAATGTAATAATACATGTGGATAAATTCTAAAATAATTTACAGGTGTTAGCTTACATAGAAGCTAAAAATAAAATCCGGGATTATAAACATTATCCAAAGTTGAATATTGTGTTTGTTTTTTTAAAACTTTAAAAAAATTGGAGAGAATATTTTGAAACAGAAAACAAGAAATCATTACCATTAAAATTGACGATCATTTTATTCACTAATGTTTTAATTAAAATGAAACATAATTAGCTACCTGAGTAAAAAAAATATGTAAAAATCATCTTTCAATTATTTAGATGGAAATTGTGCTCAGGATTTTGGCAATAATAAAAAGTTTATACCTCTGTACAAGATAAGTTATTTTCACTGGGCAATTTGGTAATGATATACACTAACTGTTTAAGTAGATTCAGGGGGATGGAGGATAACATTCCAGCTATTTTACAAAGAGGGTAAGTGGTCAATGTGATTTTCAGTACTGCGTGTGGTCAGGCGTTGAAGCTTACTCACAGCTTCGCTCAATTTGGTAAGGGTTCAGCTTTATCAACTGATTTTTTAAACTGTTGACTCATCAGAGTGATAAAAAAATAGCAAAAAAACAAACAAGCCTAGCCTTAATACCTGAAAGTTGTAGATTACATAATGAAAATAATACTAGCAATAAAGTGAACACTTGAAAAGAAAACACATGTTTTCACACTGAGGTCAGCTGAAATTATTGCACTTTCCCTCAAAACAAATTGAAAGCAAGGGCTCGAAGTAAAAAAAAAAAACATGTTGAATTAAGTTTTAAGTGTAATGTGAAATATTTTTTTTTTTGGCGATGATTAAAAAGAAACTATTTAACAACACTATAAAATTGGATGAAAACAGCAATAAAAAGGTTGCGGACTTGGGAATCCAAATTTTTATAAGATTATCAAATCAAGCCAAGCCCAAAAATAAAGGTGAAAAGCATAAAAGGATGGGATTAGGAATATATAACAATGTAATCCTGGAGTTCTTAGTAGCAAAAATGATATTATAAATGAGATATGTCTTATTTAATAATAAATATTGGGAAAAAAAGGTTTTTAAAAAATATTAAAAATGATTGAACATATGGTGTATATATAGTCTTATATAGAGATAGATATATTTATAATGAACTGTCATGATATGCTTTGTAATGAAAATGATTAGAAAAATAAACTAATGCCAATAAAAAAAATGTACTTAGAAAAGTGATCAAACAAGAAATGGATATTAAAAAAAAAGAAATCATAAAATGTTGGACCCCAATATTAACAGTTAAAAATTTGAGATGTTCGTAATTATTCTTCAGGCCTACTGCATTATTGCTGTTTTTTTAGCAGGTACTAAATAAAAAATGTGCAGACACTCAAACTGTATATGACAAAGTTCCCAAAATAAGTAGTTCTTTAAACAGCAAAGTATATTAGAATTTTTTTTTTTAAAGTTCAGTTTGTGTTACTGATGGAGAGAGAGAGAGAGAGATTTAAATTATAACAATGAAAGTGGCAACTATATTTTAATATTTTACAGTTCTCCATGGAAATCATAGGTATCAATTGGGCCATTTTATAAAAGTACATATCCAAATATACATAGGTTATGCATTAAATAGAAATGATAAAAATAGGTTATATGATATGAAATTTAAAAGGAAATTGTTCTTTTAAAACAGAAATGTACATGTGCTAAATGCTTACCCCTATTTTCACTAATGTATATTCTACATAGTGATATCTCGCTATTTTAAAGTTACTGACGCAAAGCTTCAAGCTATTACTTGAGGAGAAGATTTGATATAAAAAAAGTCACCACAGTTTGCAGCATTTAAAAACTGACTGACTGAGCATAACAGCCAAATATGTACCCACTGGTTTATAAAAGTTCAATTTTTCAAATAAGTATTGACTTTTTATAACACATTTTAGCCTTTAAAATGCATTTCAGCAAAATAAAAATGTAGCAAAAAAGAGTAGAAACTGAAGCTGTGGGTTTTAGAATTTTCCTATTTTCAAGTAGTTCTGATAGTTCACAATACTCAAGGTCATGGTGAATTTTAAAGAAAAAAAAAATTCAAATCCATATAATCCACATGTAATTCAATAGAACCTTTTAAAAAAAATTCAGTCATAAAAACTCATCATTTTGAGCAACAGGGGAATAAGTCATTGTAGCATTTAAACAGTATCATAATGAAAAATATGCATCATTAAATCTATATTACAGTTTCAATTACATTGGAGACTTGTTTCAGACTAACATTTGCCTTTTTCTGTTCAGAATAATGAACAATACAGTTTTTTTTACAGAAGTTTTCCAAAATAACTATTTATCCAAAAGTAAGTTTAGTATTTTGCCTATTAATTTTATTACCAATTCGTGATATTAGTGGTTTTGTATATAGAAGCCAAACTTTAAAAACAATTGTAGAATCTCTTTTATTATTTGAAGTTAACACGAGGAATCCACGTCTCCAAATAGAAAATTTCACCTAAGTGTAAATTGTAAGCATTGTATAAAAGAATTATTATTTTTGTGGGTATGAAAACAATGATAACCTTTCAGATGTAGGCATTGTTTTGATACTGTTAAAGTAAGGTTTTTGAAAAGTTATTATCAAAGGAATAAAGCCAAGAAAAAAATTATCAATCAAATAACATGATAAAAGCATTTAATTAATATAGAACAAATGTATACACCATTGGGGCAAAAATAAATTTGCTCGTTTGAGCTCTTAAGTACATAAATAAATTAGACAGCCCAACGCAGTGAGAAAAAAGTGGTATTTGGGCAGTTATTTATATATTATATACATACTTTGCGCTGGATATTATCATTCAAATTAGAATATGAAGGAAAGAGAATGCGGAGGTGATGATTAAATTTTTTTGTGTGTTTTAGAACAGTACACAGCATGGGTAAGACATAAATGAGTTATTCAGGATACTGCTCCATAGAGGAAGGTACAGGACAGACAGGTTAAAGGTCAAGGTATTCTGTTAAAATTGGTAAATAATATAACTTGTATTTTAAAATTATTCTTCATAATTCTTTTTACATCTTTAAAGCAATAACAGTTAATAGTCATCATTGTTATAAATATGGAAATGTTTAGATTTGTTTCATTAAGTAGTCATGTTTTTAGAACACAAACAATACATCAAAATGTCATAGTTGACAAGAATGCAACTTAGTATAGCTACTCTCACAAAATTACTCTTTTTACATTTACCACAATTCCACCAAGCTATTTATTTTTAAAAGCTGGTGTATTGATCGTTTAGACTCCATCAAATTTGAAATAAAATGTACAACACTGCCTCCTATAGTAGAACTAAACCTACACAAAATTTTAAAAATGGAACGATAAAGCAAAATATATTAAAGTAGCAATTTTAAAATTCAAACTCTTGCCTATATCAATAGAATTTTAAAATTTTTGTCTAGCTGATTTTGCTAAAATAATGCACAGCATTTAAACCTAATAACAATGAGACACAGCAAAATATGCTTTAAATGAAAGTGTTAAAAATGTACAATTTTTAAAAGCGCAATCCGACAAGCATATAAAATGAAAGCATTGTGTGACTAAAAAAATCGTGCTTCAAAGTGTAAAAGAGAAAAATTAAAAAGTTATCAAATGGCAGTATAAACTGACTAGCAGGTTTTCAATCATTGCAAGGAAACAAAACAAAACTGGATTTATTTTTCTAATTTCCAATACTCAATACATTGAAAACTCATAAAAAGTTTTTAAAAATGGATTTCAAAAGGGGATTTAATTTAGGTGTCTTATTATTTTTCCTGACCATCAGATAAAGATAAAAACTGCCAATTTACATTATTCTATAATATTAGTAAAATAAACACACAAGAAGTATATAGTTGTTTAGATTACTACTTTGTATACAGTAAAAACATGTCTAATTCAAATCTAAAGCAAAGTTTTAAAATCATAAGGACATATTTTTACAGGATAAAATGAAATGGCTGACAGGCAAAACAAAATATAGCCATCAAATGACTGAAAATATTGTCATTGTATTATTTAAGTGTGATAAATTATAACTATAAAGAGATAAGGTAATTGAAACATAACGAAGTCGCTGCTCTATAAATAAATCATTTCATTCAGCATCGCTTGGTTATTACTTTTTTTTAATTTTAAAACATTTCCTCCAACATTTTCATGTCCAGTAAACAAGCATCATCTGAAAAGATAAAAAAGAAAGAAAAACGTAAAAGAATTGAAGCAAAAATTATAAAAGTCAGTGTTAAAAAATTTGATCAACTCCTGAAATATTAATTATAAAAATCAGTAAACTGAGAATAGTTATTTTTATTTTATTTTGGGAATAATTGTAGTACAAATAGTTTTCTTCATTATCAGGAAAATTATAATGGAAACAATAATAATGATAATATCAATTTGTCTTTTTTTGTCATAAGACTATCATTAACTTGCTAACAACCACTCATTGTATTTTTTAACACCAATTAGATCTACAAAAAATTCATTTTATAGAAATTTCTTTGAGGACGGAATTTTTATCAATTAAGTTTAACATTTCACTAAGTAATGCAGTTGCTGGTACAATTTTTTAAAGAAAAAAATCTAAACAATATTAAAACAAAACTGGTCAGTAGTGAACAGATTTCAAAAAGCAACACAACTTCAAACATTAAACACTAAACAAATGCTCCATAGATTAAAACACCTTTTAAGTTATAAAACAACCTTTCTGAACAAATTAAAACCAAAACGTTGCAACAGAAACTACACAAAAACAAACAGCAAATATAATTAAACGAAACAATAATACAATAAATCTCTCTAAGTCAACTTAACGAAAGTAGTGAAATGTATATTCTTTCCTCAAATAAACTTTCGTTAAAAATAAACTTTCCCAAAATGTAAGAAACCAGGTTTTAAAAAATGTGAGGAAGGAAATGTACAGGACAGCAAAATGTAAAATAAAAATATTGCTCTATCTGATCAAAAGGAACGAAACCTCCAAAGAAATTAATCTGAAAACATTCAGATATAATGACAACATCATTGAGTACAAAAAAATATGGTCCGAAAAAGATTTCCAGCTGTGATAACACTCAATAACTTTGCAATAATAAAAATAAAGAACTGATTAATTATACATATACATAAATTATATCGACCATAGCCTCCAAATAACAAATACCACCCAGTACATCTATTAAGTGATTAGTCTTAATTAAAAAAGAAATGTTTAAACAGGAGAAATAAAATCTCTGACATACTGTAGTACAATTCGTCTGACATAACTGAATTTCAAAATAATCATTTACAAAAAATATGTGCAAAGTACAACAGGCATAATGTTTCCAATGTCAAAATTGTATAAAAATGTGGATTTCCTTGAATTTACGTTAAAATTAAGAAAACAAAAATCTCAACAACAGAGAAAAAAATTAAATTAGCTACAACTAAGTGGGGACAAATCATTTAAAAGTAAAAATTACTATGTTAAACAAGTTGTTCAACTAAGACCAAATTAGATCTAGTCGTTTAATTTCTTTGGCATTGATATTGCTGATTAAGAGGTTGCTATAATGATCTTTGAAGATTTTGTAACACAAATGTTACTTGTTGTGCATCCTTGGAGTAATGTTAGTTTTACAATTCATGAGTATATCTTACTCAGAAAAGTTTTAAAAATAATACTAAGCTGTAACAACTTGTTTTGTAATTTACTTAAACAAAAAAAAATAATTAACCAATGTCAGCGAACTTGATAAGGAATCTGTATTCTTTGCTGAAAACAACAGAAAAGTTTTTAAAAATTATTTGGATTTTACAGTTAAATTAATGACCCTTATTACAAAATAAGGCCTGTTAAATTCAAGTTAATGGAACTTTGTTCTAGGAATTATAAAAATCAAATTACAAGTAGCATTTTATTTTATTAGAAAGTAATTTTGAAAATTCATATTACATTTTGCTATTTACAAGCGGCCTGTTTAAAGTTGAAGTTTTATCCTATTATGTACAAATAATACCTTACGACATATTATGCTATTAGTAGTAACACCGATGAAAGGAGACAACTACACTCAACTGACACACATATAAGTTAATGATATAATAATGGTAACCAGTCCTTATTTATGTTATAGGGTCACAAATGTTAACACATAATTACAAAAAATTTGACCTTTTTCACAGACTCAAGTTTTTGCCAACAAATGCTAAAAAATCTGACCAGCAAATGAACATACACTTTATCTTACACTTACAGGTTTCACTTTTTAACTAAAAATAATGACAAGCTTTTAAAAAAATACCTTAACAAATGCTGTTTCCATAATAAATAAAAGTTTGTGTGGTTTAAGGTCAAATTTAGTAACTGTACATCAAAGAAAATTTACCAACAAATGGTCAGATTTCACACTTTACATTAAATAGATAAAAATTTATTGACTTTTGCTACCAGTGATACAATCAAACCTTTATACAACAGTAACAGCATGCAGAGATGCCAGTTTGCACTATAGAAATAAAATGCGCCTCAAAGGTCAGGGAAATGTTAAACTGTAATTAACAGGTAAAGGAAAATACACATTACGAGTGCTAAATTCTTTTCACAGAGCGCCAATGCTCAACGCACCGATAATGCTTTAAAATGGACATTGCTGCAATTAGTAATTAGCATTTAAGATAATCCTGCAAAAAAAAAAAAATATAAAAATTTTTTAAAGCTTGGTTAATTTTAAATTTGACATCTCTCTTTTTTTTATGCACCCATGATGTGAATTAGTTTTTTTCTGTGTTAATTTTCAACATTTGGGTAAAAAAAAAGTCTGGTAGCAAAAGCCTACATGTATAAGGAATTCTATAATGCCGTATTTGTTTACATACAATGCCATCTGTAACTTGAAGATTCGGAGACGCTAAGAGAAGAATCAAAACCACTATTTTAAAAACAAGATCGCGGAAACATTTTATATCTTTTGACATCAAGGCATCTCTGGAAAATGTTATTTATTTAGTCAAAAAAAATAAATAAATAATGGAGGGTGTAGGAGCCTAGGTTTGTTGTGTAAAGATTCCTCAGCAGTAAATATATAACATGAAACTAACACAAAAGTGGGTACAGTCAATGCATTACTTATGCAACATCACTATCCACTCTGCATCCTTGGCTTTTAAAGGCAGACGACACGAGAACTGTTCAGCCACACTGATAACTGTCTTGGGTCAGTCATTACAAACATTGATATTAAAATAAAACACTGAAATTAATGGAGCTGTTGCCCTGGTTACCAGTGAAAACAAATCAAGATACAAATGAACCGAGTGTTAGAAGAGTACCCCAAAATGCCAAGAGACTAGTGAGTGTACGAAACAATGCACAAAACATAAACATATCAACCGTCCGATAAACACTTAGAAAACAAAACAAAAAAAATGCCAAATATGTATCTCTAGGTAATAATAAGATAAAGATTGCAAAGCCACAATATCTCACTCTAATTTGTTTTCAAATTAAAAAAAAAAGGAATTATTTACTTTCCAATCATAGCACTGAATGCGAAAAAAAAAATGTAATTGAAACAACCAACCAATCAAACAGACCAATGAGCAGACTTGTTACAAAATATAATAATAAAAATATAAAATAATAAAATTAATACAATAGAGACAAGAACATAAATAAAAAAAAAAACTAGATCTCAAGAGCACAGGCAGATAAATATAGGGACAATGTCAAAGGTTTTGCAGATATGTACAAATCCCGCCCACTTACACCGCACTGATGGAGAAGAAGTGGCTAAAGTTGGGTGATTGGCAGGAATGCCGTCCAATCACGAGGCGGAGGCACAAGCCTGCGTAAAAAAGGGGCTACAAGTTTGGGCCGAAAAAAAAAAGGAGAGAAGATGGAATGAATTATTAAGATGCTATAACATAATGTTGATCCTGTGGAGAAAATTATGATGACTGGATGGTATTGATGTACATGACATTACAATTCTTCTCACAACCTTATTTTACTTCTCATGTGTTTTGAGCTCTGAACATTTAGCTCGTGTGACTTTTATCTTTAAAGCTATCGGAACATTTCTTTTACACAAAATCATCACATTTCAACAGCACGTATATATCATATTATCATTATTATTATTTTCATTATAATTTCTAGAATATAAAGAGACATAATGTTATGATAAAAAGCATATTACCATATTGCACATTTGTAGGCATATACAAATCCCAACTGCTTTAAATCTTTCTGATTATATTGCAGTACAATTTTTTTTTTTTACAAACATTTGGAGTTTTTCATTAAAAAAAAAACATGTCAAAAATAGAAAAATTTTAACATCTTAACTATGGCCTAAAACGACTGCAAAATAATATAACCAAAAAGAGTTCAGTTGTTTCCCACCCGGAGTGTAAAAAAAAAATAAAAAAATTAACCTCGATTTAAGCGTAACAGAAATCAGCTTACCATAACATGAGTCACATGACGGCTGTAAGATGTTCTCTCCTGCTGTTAATAAGGACGATTGGCATCTTTAGGGCGCTTCAGTTGAACCTTTAGACGCTTCATGCCAATCTGGAACCCATTCATTGCCTGAATGGCAGTCTGAGCGCTAGCTGGGTTATCAAAGCTTACAAAACCTGGTCATTGAAGATAAACAGTGTTAGTACCCTTATAGCAGTTTAAAAAGAAAACTTTGGTCAAATAATTAAAAGATATTGATGATTAGTACTGTTATAGCAGTTTAAAAATGGAACTGTAATAAAATATTTAACAGATATTGATGATAAACAACATAAGTACTATTATAGCAGTTTAAAAATGGAACTGTAATAAAATATTTAACAGATATTAAAGATAAACAACAAAAGTACTGTTATAGCAGTTTAAAAACAAAACTGTAACAGACACTAAAACATGTTTTATTCATCTATGTTTTAATTTGTTTAATATGACATATTTAAAGTTAGCTTATAATTTAAAATATCTCAAAGTGGTAAAAGAACTAAGTAAAAAATAGTCTTAAAGTCTTAAGCTTTCAAGACCAAAAAAAAAAAAAAAAGAAAAAGAAAAAAACAACCCCTTACCGAAGCACTTGCTCTGATTTGTCGCTCTGTCCACATAAACTTTAGCACTGATAACATTGCCAAACGGGACAAACATCTGAGCGAGTTCGCCATCCCCAAACTCCTGGGGGAGGTGGTAGATGAAGAGGTTGCAGCCTTCTGGCCCTTCCTTCTGGGCTGTTGGCACCAGAGTTGTGGGCTGGGTTAACTGCTGGAATCCACCGTAGACTGCGGGGTAGGCTGCTGAAACGAAAGAGACTGTTTTCAGAGACCTCATTAAAACCTTTGGCTTTAAAGATTAGAGGTTGATGATTTAATGAGATGAAGAATGAAACAATGAGAATAAACAAAAAGGGTTAAAAATAATATGCTTTGCAAAAATCTATCGGTAGTAAATTATAATTTATTTATATTTAAAGAATTTATATTAATTAAGAAGAGTGACTTTTCATGTATTATATGAAAGCTTTAAAACTGATGTTATGAAGAATACAATGAATATAAAATGTAAGGGGAAAAAAACTTTGAAAGAATATTTAGCTATTAAAGTATTTATATTTTAGGATCTTTATATTAATTAATAAGAATATCTTCATATTTTAGCCATGAAAGCTGCTGCTGAAAATATTTTTTTTGCATATATTAAAAAAAAATTAGTTCATTCAACACTTGCATGTACTTTAATAAAAAATCATAATTAACACATTTAAGAAACTATTTAAAAAAAAATAATTGTACAGTGCAAGTAAAATTTCAAGTTAATTAAAATTTCTTGTAAATTGCTCCTTTATGATTGTACTCATTGCTTATCTCCCCTGCAGCAGCCTTCACCTACAGTAAAAAAGAGAACAGTTGAACTTCTTACCAATGCCAGCGTAGGATGGAATTGCAGCATACGCTTGAAGCGGGTCACCGTTCGTTACTGCTGAAACGAAGCGAAGTCTAGTGCTTAACATCCATAAAAAAGAACTAAACATTACTACACTAGAGTTACTTTTAAAAAAAATTACTTTTCGCATGCATTGTATTAATTCAGTTAGTTTTGTTAATTGTTGTTAGTATTTCACAAGATTTAACAATAATTCAAAATATTTCCTAAATACTAATGAGTTATCTTCCTCACCACCTCTTCAATTCCTACTTCAAAACCATTCCACCTCCTCCAGACTAAGTTAAACTAAACTAACATCAAATACACAATGCAGGACCCAACATACTCAAGCCAAACCTGTCAATAACAAACAGGCAACAAAAAAAGTAACAATGGTATCATTCTTTTAAAAAAATAAATAAAACTCCATGCTTTTAAAAATGTTTGATTAATGTTTTAATATAACGCAACATTTGAACTTTTATTCAGAAACACTCGACACTGTCGTTACCCATCAATGATTGATCAAGCTTTTTTCGAGACATGCTAGGCCCTGCATGGTGTAGAAAAGAAGAATGAAATATACATACAATACAAACCTGTGTAATGCGGAATGCCGTTGGTGTAGATTTCTGCTGCCCCGTTAGTTGGTGGCATGGGAAAGGATGCCATGGCAGTTGGGGACAGCATACTTGGAGGGGCACCATTTATAGTTGGTGTAGGGGTACCTGAGGATTAAAAAAATCATTATTAATTAAAAAAAATTTTTTTTTCAATCTAAACATAAATGCTTGATAAAAAAAATAATTTTTTTTCAGAATGATATGAGCTAATAAAAAACAGTTTTGGTAAGCTCCCAGTTTTTTTTCAATTCGTAAATCAGAGGATGACACTAATCAGAGATAAAATTATTTCAAATTTTCAAATAATAAAATGTAACCCTTATTACTTTTTAAAAAACCCTAAAAACAAAATTAAATTTTACGTATTCGATAACCTTATCAAAATGTAATCTTAGCCGAGAATGAAATGCTGATTTTAGAAAAGAAAGGAATGCATTATATCATAAATAATTTTAATGCAACCATATTTCTAAATTGCTACCACTGTAAAATAAGCCTTCAAATTTTCAAGATTAATAACATTTCATTGATAGCAACATGAAGTAAATTAACATCTGCGATACTGATGTTGAGTATAGGAACAATATGACTGTCTACAACATGCATTACACACAGGTACAACCACCTAGTTGAAACACACTGACATTACCAACAATTATTCTTATCACATCTTTTTTGTCTTTAATTCAAAGCAGGATTAACTTTGGCTACAATAAAACAATAAGGCGGCATTCATACAATTTTGTGCAAAGGTTTTTGAAAGGGAAACTAAAAAAAAAATTGCGGATTTATAAAAAAATTGTGATTTTAAAAAAATACTTTCAAACAATATACATAAAAGATGTAAAAAAAAAAGTTAAATTATTAGATAAGAGATCAAAGCTCATGTAAAAAGGAAGTTACAACAAAATACATTTAAACATAGAAACAATATCAATACACCAGAATTATTATATTCTATTAAAATATGCTAAAATGCTTAGAAGATTCACTGTGAATTAGTTTTTTGTAAATGAAAACCCTCACAAAATAGAAAGCATATTTAAAGCAGTAGGTTAACTGCATGCAGATTCTAAATGTGAAGTAACTTTGATAAACATGGATTGGTTTAAATATAAATTTTAATGAATAGAAATAAGCAAAATTATTTTTTGTATCCTTGATTTAAACTTTAATACTGACATCATACAATCTTCAAATTAAGATTCTACATACATGAAAATGCTATCCTCACATCTATTGAGAAAATAATTGTTTTTTGTTGTTGAGCCATCTTGAAAACTAAATAAGTTGTTTACAATTTAATTTTTATGCAGGGTATTGTGGGAAAAATATTTGGGGATCAGGATTGAAGGTTCAGGAAAAGAGGGGGAAGGAAAAATATAAAACCAAGAGCAGTGTTTTGCCACCAATTTTTAAAATAAATTAAATGGCATATTCCTCATGCCTAAATACTAAGGGGGCAGAACTCTTAATGTTCTTGAATAAGGCGACAAAGTACAGGGACAGACATGACAATTACCGGAATAATGGTGCTCCAAATTCTTGATTTTTTCCGGTTGTCCCTCACGCCAGTGAAACTGCCATGCATTAGCATAGTCTTAAATCAATCAAAAAGACATCATTACCAATATACCCAAATTACATTCTTTTTGTCACAGAAATTGAGTAAACCTTAAAGAAGGTTGAGGAAACATTCTCTTTTAAAGTTTGGAATAGGATAGACTAAAGGGGGTTAAGAGAAAAAATTGTCTCATTTTATTCTGAGAATTAAACCTTTGAATTATTTTTATAAAAGAGAAAAAAAATGCTTTATTGAAATTATTATAAGGGATAAATTGTTGTATAAGTGACCTTTAATTGATACAATGTATGGCGCATAGGGGGAAATAATTTAAGCAGGAGAAGAAATCTCCATGATTTAGATTTATATTAAAACATTTATTATAAAAGCCAAGTTTTTAAAATCAGGCTTAATTAATTCTTTAATTTTTTAACTGTTTTTTGTTAATGTAGATCTACATGTACATGTGATCATGTGTTTATATATACATACAATGTTTCATTTCAACATTTTGAGATAATTGTATACTTGGCTTTTATAAACAGCAAGCAAAACACTTAGCAAATATTTGCAGTTAACTAAAAGTTTACACAAACTGATAGCAAACGTTTTTAAAAAATCAGAGTTTTAAAAAGCTATGCTACTGCTTGTGAAATAAAATGCATAACACTAAAAAAGTTTAATAAAACATCAACGTTTAAGTTAAGACATTTTAAGCAAAAAATAAAACCTAGGAAAAATGCATAAAAAGAATAAAGCTTTAAAAATAAAACAGGTTGAAACTTCTATCGAAATAAGATTATTAATTTACAAATTGAAGACATTTTAACATTATTGAGATAACAGAAATGTTAGTTTTATTTCGTCCAAATATAAAATTAAAATTTAACTCAACTGGAAGTTAAGCTTTCAGCGCACATTGTTAGTTCTAAACATCGATTATACACATAGCACAACTAATTAATTATACATCAGTTCAACACACGCATAGACAATACTAATCAGAGAAGTAGGTGCATGCGAAGATTGAAAAAAAAAAAAATTTCGCCTACCACTTCCAAGAGTTGCTGTGGTGGGTGTGATTGCTGTGGAGACCAATCCGTTGGGAGCGGCTGGTAGACTGGTCAGCTGTTGGACCTGAGTGGACAGCATGCTTACGGGGTTGGTTAGGTAAGGTGTTTGAGCTGCTGCCATGATCGCAGCTTGTTGTTGCATGAGCTGCTGAGACTGGAGAGCAGCTGACTGTTTGGTGTAGACAGGCTGTTTGTGGCAAAGAGGAAAAAAAGAATTAATTAAAATTAACAATGATCGATGCAATAAATTTTGTCTTCTTATTGAAAAATAAATAAATTTCATAACAATATAATTGATTATATTGATTAAATATAAAAAAAAAAACGTACAAATAAAATTCAATTTAGATTAGTGTACGTATACGTGTACATAAGTATAATTCTTTAATAATTATTAAATTAACAACTATTATCTTATCAAAAATTTAATTAGCAGAAATTTTTACAGCGAGTATACAGATTATACAAATTAAAGAACACAGAAAGAATAGTAATCATAAAGTTGTGCTGCTCCAATGTAGGACCATGCATACATGGCACATGTAAAAAAAAGTATAAATATAATATCATGATACATTTGGATTATAAAGAAATTCATGATTATTTTGACACATTTTATGTACTTTTATGTACTATACTGTCCCTTTTTTTATCTGACTTTACTTTTGACAAAGATATTATAATTTCTAATTAATATTATTATTTCTAAATTAAATATATTTAAATTTAGAATTATTACATTGTGACAGTGAGTAAACTTAAAATTGAATGTTAATACTGTTTAATAATTTGGGTTTATTAGAACAGATAAGCACCCGGACTAATTTAACTTTCATAAAAAAACAGTCACTTTGGACCAAACAAAAAGGGTAGAGAGAATCTAATTCTGTAGTTTGTGATTGAGGGAAATCTGAAGTTCTTTCCTTCTTAGAGGGAAAATTTAACTTGTTATTTCTTTATGCCACAGTCTCTATTTAAAAAAATAGAAAACAAAATGTCACAAGGACATACTATTTACTGATTGAGAAAATAATGGGCTAGGGTGTAAATATTCACCTGTGGTGCCAGGGTCTCGAATGAGCCTACGCGGGCCAGTTCGTATGGTGACTCCACCTAAGAACAAGGGAAAATAATCATGGTTGGGCCAGGTTGAAAGAATATTTGTTAGTAAATACATGCAAATTAGTTTAGTTTATTCTTTCAGATTTTTTTTTTCTTCTTTCAAAAGAAAACAAGTCAGAATAACCATGTATGGTGTTAAATGGAGTTAATTCTGTCTGATTTATTTTTGTGTGAGTTATTTTTCCCTTGACTGTAATTTTTTAACACACTTTCTACTCTACCCTATTGTATTCGAAACCATTGGGAGAATTGTCTATGCAGATGTACATCTATAAGTCGCACTACCAAAGTGAAAGTGAAGTAAAATAAAAATGAAATATCAAAGAGAGAAATCTATAAATAAAATTCTCAAGACATTTTGTGATATTAAAATATTGTATGTGTTTTTATCCTATTTAAATAAAAAATAGGAAAAAGTGTAATGCAGAGTATCATTTAAAAGATATATATCATTTTTAAGCTGTTATTTTACCCACAATGATATTATTATCACTTGTCTTTAAAAATATAAATTAAAAAAGAAAAACAATTAAAGTTTTTAAATAATGAAAAAAAAATAAAACTAACTAATTCAAAATAAAAATACTCATAATTTGTACTTTCTGATTAATTTTGTTTTTGGTGTTTTTAATATTCCAATATCAAGTTAACACTAAGTCTGTGTAAAAATAAAAGATTTCTGGGTTGAGTACTTATTTAAAAACATTAGTTCATTTTCGTTCATAATTTAAAAAAAAAATAAAACAATATATAAACATAAGCTTCATATAAAACTGAAGTTTTATAAGAACTGAAAATTGAGAAACAGTAAAGATAAAAAAACCAAAAACTAAAGAAAAACAACAATCAAAAACAATAAATTAGCTGTTTAAACTAAATTTTCAGAAAAAAATGTTTTGAGAAAATAAAAACAAGAAATCTGTAAGTCTAATCAAAATGATAACAAAGAAAAAACTCCTAAACACTCATCTGTTAAAAAGTTTTATAGATAAAAACAAAACGTTAAAAATTCTTCAACTTTAATCTACTGTAAACGGCAACAGCTTAAAATTGAGGAGATTAAATTAAGTGTCCATGATTATCTTTCTCACTCTTATTAAATAAATAAATGAAATAACCCTTCTATATATCTGTTTACTGAATAGAAGAATTCAGTTTATATATATATATATATATATATATATATATATATATATATATATATATATATATATATATATATATATATATAAAATATACATACATTGATTTTAAACTATTTACAGAACATTGTAGACCTATATTGAATCACAGCTTTAATTACATGTCTTAGAGATTTTAAAACAAAATTATCTGTGATGTTAAATCATATTTTAATTATTTTTTTTTGTCTGATCTTTAAAACTAAACTACCTAAGTGTTAGACTACAACACAGTATCGGCAAAATAGACCATCCAGAATAAAGTGAACCAATCGTTTTTATTTTAAAAGGGCTAGCGCCTTTGCAAAAGCTTTTAACTCAATAGCTGGAATGATCGTGAATGCCTTTCATTCCCAATCAATCTAAATTAAATTCTCCGTGAACCTGCTTTGCATTGCGCCACATCCTCCGGAAGCATCTATAGAATTTTTTCCCCACCCCTTCTGCAATTTAAAATTAAACTGATCTAGCCTTTCTCTAGCCTTTTACTGCGTTTTACACTTGCGTGAGTTTTTTTTTATGTGCAAGCCTTCCTACAGAAAACAGTACTTTTTAGAACTGGATTTTTATGTCAGCCCTATTCTTCAGCAGTGAAGCCTATTTACTTATTGACGTGTTTGGGTACCTTCATGTTTAAATAACTTTGTTAACTGATAAACTCTAGCTAGATCCAATTTTTTAAATAACTTTGTTAACTGATAAACTCTAGCTAGATCCAATTTTTTAAATAACTTTGTTAACTGATAAACTCTAGCTAGATCCAATTTTTTAAATAACGTTGTTAACTGATAAACTCTAGCTAGATCCAATTTTTTAAATAACTTTTTAAACTGATAAACTCTAGCTAGATCCAATTTTTTAAATAACTTTGTTAACTGATAAACTCTAGCTAGATCCAATTTTTTAAATAACTTTGTTAACTGATAAACTCTAGCTAGATCCAATTTTTTTAAAAATAACTTTGTTAATTGATAAACTCTAGTTAGATCCAATTTTTAAAATAGATTTAGTGAATAGAATCAGTAAATAAGCCTAAACACAAGTAAGGTAAGGTAAATTAGGACAAGGCCAGTCTGCTATATATTTTAAAAAAATATAATTGATTGTATTGACTATTGATCTTAGCAATAATCAATAATAGTATTATAGTTCTAGTTTGCATTCAATCTTAAAGTATAGATCTAACTTCAATTTTTATTTAGTAATATTTTTTTATCAATAGGCTTATCATCTTATCTAGGCCTAACTAATATAAGATAAACTTGTTATTGAAAAATCATAAGGTACAAAACTTATGCACTTAGCCAGATTTTTATCATACTCAAAAAATAAGATCCAAAACACTGCTTAAAATTAATTTAAAAAACAACAACACAACAGTACTAGTATATGGAATTAAACTGTTAAACTTAAATGAGCTGCTAAAAATCTCTTGCTGGTAATCTTATTTAGACAGTGGGGCAAATCGAAATTGATTTAATTAATCAATCTAGCCTGGGGTGGATAAAAAATTAAACATAGCCATCATTAAAACCAGTCTGGCCTAGCCTTGATTTTGTTTTTCAGCTTTAGCTATTGGAAAAAATAATACATTGATTTCATTCTTGATAAATAATTCTACTCCCCCCCCTACACACAATGCACTGCAAAAGTAAAAACAAAAGTTGAAGTGCATTCTACTAATCAATATTTGGTTAGACATGCCAAAAATTCCCCTAATATCTGGCATACTTCTTAGACTTTTGTAATCATCTAAAAGTCAAAACGACATTCTCCAATCTAAAAATACGACTTTTATACAGAAACGTCTGCTAAGTTATAATCAAGCCATTAACAAAAGTGTATGGTATTTCCAATAAAACCCCCTCTTCCTCCGCCCTACCTACGTATTTGATCACAGAAGGCTATAGTTACTATAAAAGTGATGCTATCTCCCTTTGTGTGTTATTATCTTCCCCTGCATACTATTATCAAGATCCCTTGGTTTTTTTTTTATAAAAGTCATACATTAACGATTATTACTGCCCTTCTTGACTGCGTAGAACAAACGGCATTACCGATACAGTTTTCTGATGCGGATTCGGAACACGGTATTACATTATGCATACGCTTACTCGCGCAGAACCCGGTGCCTTTCGGTTGCTAGCCGTTTACAACAGTCTAGACTGGCGGGGAGGGCGCGTATTAATAATGCAAATCACAAGGGTCAGATCTATGCAGAAACGATAGGCTATTATACACACAAGGCAAGACGCTGACCTATAATGACCTTTCGGTGTAACAGCGGCCATTTTGTTTGCGCTTTGTTATGTAATGTTCCCATCTCGTTAGCAAGATTATTGCATAACCAGTTTATAATACTTGCCTGAGTATTTTAAAAACAATTTATTAACTTTGACTTTGTAGCATACTGCACTAATGCAACGCGGGAGGGGAAAAGTGGTAGGATGGGGGTGAACATGAGTTATATCTTTGTGAAATATGCATGTCCCAATAAAATGCAACAATCGTTATATTATTCATGAAATGCATACACGCACGCGAATACATCGTCCGCGCGCGCATTTGTCAGTTAAATCATGTGACCTTTTCCCTCCCCGCGCCGGCCAAAATAATCCCGAACGCAGCTTATGTATTTTTGATTTGTGTTGTTTTAAAAGCCACAACACATGTGTAGTATTTTGTATAAAAATGTTCGACTATCTAGCATATTTTTCAACCAATTATTAAAAAGTGTGGCATGACGTTGAAAAGGTCAATGAATATTTTTAGAACAACTAATTGGGTTTGGAAGCAGGGAGTCTGTGCAATCACGATTTTTAAAATTTGTTTTTTAAAGATTAACATCACTATGAAAAATACAACACACCGTTCAAAAAGTTGTCACAAATTAGGCTATTTTATTGGACGGCGCCCGGGGACAAACTTCCAATTTGGCGCCCCCTCCTCCATATATTTTTTATGTTTATAATTCAAAACTGCAGCTAAAATGAGCTTTTAATTTTTTTTCCCAACCCATTTTGGCGCCCCTGGGGTCGATGCCCGGGGACATATGTACCCACCCCCCCAGAGCCGGCGTTAGGGGGTGGCGAACGGGGCGGTCGCCATAGGCCCCGCGCTTGAAGGGGCCCCGCGCTTCAGCAGTGTCATTGTTCTCTGAATTAGTTTGTAAACTTAAAAAAAAATTGTTGCTGAATTCAATTGGGAAAAACTAAATGGTCGAATGCCGACGTTGTTGATTGTTATAACTGAGACCACGGTTGATGTTGGTGAGTCCCACCTGAACTGGGACAGGCCGTAATTCGATACAAAAATAGTCACGCCTTCCCTTTGTGCAGGGTACGGTCGCCTGGCATTTGACCTGAGCTGACTGGAGATGGCGGTCGAGAATTAGCCCACGACGTAAAGAGATACCCTATTGTATGCGGACCGATGAAGACGTCCTTTTAGTGAGCAGACGGGATGTCTGTAGTAGACAGTTAGTGACCTGATGAACTCTAGTCCTGACTTTCTTGTTGTAGATGCCCTATAATGTCGTATATGTACAGTGTTTCTTCCAGACTTTTTTCTCCAGGGGGGAGGGGCACTTGAAATTTTCGGGGGGGGGGGGGGGGTGCGGTAGATTTTCTTCGGGGGGGGGGCATGTCCCCCCCCCCCCCCCTTGAAGAGATGCCTGGAAAAAACTCTAAATGTAGGCCTACTTGTCTTGGTATAACAAAATTAACATTCAGTTGCGCGCAGAGGGGTGGGAGGAGGGCGACGGGGGGGGGGGGGGGGACGGGGGGGACGCCTTAGGATCTATATCAGGCG